ACACGGTTTAAATATTAAAAACAAAAATAATACAAATAACATATTCGAGAATCCATATCAGAGAGAGAGAGAGAGAGAGGTGGAGAAGCTTGGGGAGCTGCTGTTTGTAGTAGGAAAGCATATTATGCGTGCATTTGAAGCCCAGATTTGTCATTTGCTGTCTCCACTTTCACAACAATTTCCAGCTTTCATGGTTCTCTACCTTTTTTGCATCTTTTTTTTCTTCCTCCTTTCTCTCTCATCCACCCCTTTCCACCTCCCCTGTTAGACACACACACACACACATATTATAGAGATTAATTTATAGTTTTAAATATTATAGATTAGATCAATCAATCCTCCTTTTGGCAGTGCTTGCTTCTCTCTTTCTCTCCCTCCATTGCCATTATATCTATATTAAACCTTTATAGACATGCATGCCTTTGTGAGCATGCATATGTGTATCTGCATGCATTGTTGACATGTGTGTACCAATATCATGCACAATAATTTAACCCTAGGTTACATTTAGTTGTTTTCTTCTTTCTTTTCTTAATTACCTGGTGTGTCAAAATATTTATTTTTGACAATTCAATATCCGGTCACTAGATTGATTAATCTGAATGACCAATCCCATCATTTATTAGCGGGATCAACTTGAAGTCAAAGAAAAGTCCAGTATGAATTGGCTCCAAAAAATTATTTGAACATGAGACCCTAGAGGGAATACACTCCTAGACTTTAAGTCTTGACCACCCGACTAATCCCTTAAGATTTGTGTCAAAATATTTATAGTCTTATATACACAAAATTTAATCACAAAATTAGACAAAATTTTCTCACACGTGGTCAATATAATATTAAATAATAAAAAAATGAGATTAGAATAAAAATCTCTCTCTCACATCCGTTCTCCATCACATTGTCGAAACAAAAATATAATATGAACTGATATAAATGAAAATGTTTGGTCCATGAAGCCACAATATGATAGATATACATCGAAATAGGTAAATCCTAGAAATTAAAATGAATCCATGTCAAAGGGTTATCTTCAGTTTTGAATAATCAGATTTTGTGCTTTTAAATTTTTTTAAGTAATTATAACTGAAGTAATCAAGTTAACAGGAGGCTTCTCTCGAATTAACTAGAACTCCAGTTGTAAGAGAAGTATTCCTCTCACAAGTGAACTCTATTAATCAGAGAGGGGCTGGACCCTTTGAACCTAAATTTGGATTTATATGACAATGAGAGAAACTGATATATGAACATGCTAACCTATTCTGTTCTGATTGAAGAGGGTGGGCCTTCTATTGCTTCAACAGATCCTTTTTCTGATATTGGAAGTCCTTTTGAATGGTTACACTTCATGGCCTACATTTTTGGCCGATTATATATATATATATATATAGATATAGGCCTTGCTTTTTTTTTTTATGTTTCAGGGAAAAAAAAAAAAAAAGGATTTTTTTTAAAAATAATAATAACTAATTTGATAAAAATAAATAAAAAATATTATTTTAATTTTTTAAAAATTATTTCTGACCTCTCAAAATATAAAATTATACAACAATGATAAGTGTTTTTGCTTTATTTATTTATTTATTTCTTCACCAAATTAATTTTTAATTTTCTTAAAAAAATTTCTAAAATAAGTTTCTAAAAACCAAACCAAACCAAACCAAACCAAACATTTATCGGCAAGAGCTTTTACACTCTTTTTTATTTTATTTTATTTTTTTACTTTTTTCTTTGCACAAATAATAGGATAGTAAATTAAATTATAACAAAATGACTGTAATCGTTCCATCAACTTGAACCCTAAACTTTGTTTTCAGAGATATATTTATAATTTTTGAAGGGAAAAATAAACAAATAAAATCAAAATCTTAGACTATAAAATAAGGAAAAATTACATATCAGTGTATCTCTCTAAAAATAATTACAGATCATTGAAACACTTTATCAACATTAATAATTAAAATTATAAATTTTTCAGTGATTTTATAACTATATATATATATTTGAAATTTCACTGCAGTGTGATTTCCCCATAAATTAAATTTTGAAAAGTTGTGAATTCATTGCTGAATAGGGTAGGAGGCCCCTACCATAGCCTTGTATTGCGTTGTGCTAGTTCTATGGTCTCAAGAAAAAAAAACAAATAATAATAATAATAACCCAGAATCTTGCTTAGAATTTATAATTAATGGTCAAGATTTATTCATTATATGGTCTCACAACAAGAATTTTGAATATATATCATTTATTTATAATTAGGAGTAATTTTCTGAACACTGGATTGCTAGATTTCTGCACACTGGATTGCTAGATTTCTGCTTGAGGTTGAGTTGAGTGAGTAGGGTAAGGATGCTGTTTGAGATGTGTAGTTGGTCAGCATGAACAGAACAAATAAGGACCATCCCAACCCTTGCCTGAAAACAACTTCTTCTAACCTTGACAAATATGTTCATGACATCTCACCTTCTCTCTTGATCCAAGTGTTGCCCTAGTGTATTTAAGCTTGCTCTATAACCCCACAGAGTTGGCTTGATGGTCAAAGCCTAAGCTTTGGGGACCTGCTAATTTTAAGGTCTCAAGTTTAAAATTTAATACAAATAATTTTTTAGGCTCAATCCATATGTTACTTTATCTTAGTTTTAATAAGTTGTGTATTAATAAATGATAAAATTAATCTCTTAAATTAGTCAATCCAATAAGTCAAATACTTACGTTTACTATATTTTCTAATCTATATTGTACATACTGTTTGATCACATGGGTTCACATGAAATGACCCAAACCAAACTTCGGTTGCCTACTTCTCCAATTGGTCCATTGCCAGAGATCAAGAGCACAAAATAATAATAATAATAATAATAATAATAATAATATAGTTCAAATTCAAGACTTATGTGATGGAATTTACATTTTGAATGCATTTGAGTGGCTGTTTGGAAAATTACTAAGGGATTGTTTGGGGTGTCCTAAATAAGTGCATTTTTTATTTTTTTTAGACTAAAAAGTTGAGGTTGAAAATATGAATGTTTGGGTTAACTTTTTGACTTTTTATGGAAAAATATGTATTAAAAAATTGTATAAATTAATGTCTACGGAAAAATTAGTATTGGGAGTTGTGCAGCCATAATTGTTGACTTTTGGTGAATAGTGATAACTTTTTAACTTTTTGAATAACTTTTTGACTTTTTGACTTTTTTGAGACTTCCCAAACTTGGCCTAAGTAAGTAGTTTATTAGTTTATTTATTATAAATTATTACATTATTTTTCTATTTTTTTTCACGTACTTTTTTTTTGTAAAAAGTTAAAAAAATAAGTGTCGTTTGGGAAGTGGGTTGACTTTTTGACTTTTTAGATTTTTTGGCTATTTTAGCCTGGGCTAAAAAGCTTAGTTTGAGAAGAATTTTTTTACTTTTTTGACTTTTTTTGTGAGAAAAGAATGTAATGATTATGAGTTGGATGTGATGTTTTATTTTTTGTGACTAAAATAGTCTATTTTGTCTTTTGTGATTAAAATAGCCAAAAAAGCCTCCAGTAACTCTTCCCAAAAGGAACCTAAATAAGCAAATTCTAAATAACTATTGAAGCCAAAAATGCAAATAAAAAAAAACTGTTATCAGTCCTATGTTATTAGTATTTGTTTGTTACGAACACCCTTTAGGGTGCATATATGCACCTTATCATAAAAATATGGAATTTTATTATAAAATTTCGTAATATTAATCATAAAATACGTAATTTTATCATAAATTAGCGTAACAAAATATCTAAAATTTTGTAATTGATATTAAAAAAATTTTGCAACTTCGTTGCGATATTTTTTATTACACCATATTGTGGAGAAGTTACATATTTTATAATTAATGTTATAAAATTTTACAATAAAACTACATATTTTATTATAAAATGCATAGAATATATATCTTTAAGAGGTGAACACCATGACATTTTCTATTGGCTACAAGTACTTTAGATTAGACATGTGATTGAGAGAGTGAACAGCAGATAGTGATGTTGGAAGACGCAACATTAGAAGGATTAATAAGTTTGAACTTTGATTTGAAGTGACTCAAAGCTTCTCAAAAGAGAATGATAGTCACTTCACTTCAAATCAGTGTATATAAATTACAAATTAATTTATAATTTTTTATTTCTCACCTCACTTCTAAAAGACAATTACATGATAGTGATAAAATTTACAAAAAATTAATAATAATTAATAGGGAATTTACAAATCAGTGTTTCATTCTAAAAAATATTAATTTATGAGAAAATATATAATGTTAATTATTAAAAATTATTAAATTTATCATTAAATTGAAATTTCTTTTACAATAGACACTGCAGTGTTATTTCCTCATAATTAAATTGTTAAACTTTTCAACTAATTTGTAATAATTTTTTCACAGTATGAGTGAGAAGAAATTTTGCTTTAATTTACTACCAATTTTTTAGTTTCTATACCAGCATTTGTTTTCTTTTTCTCACTACTAGAAATATAACTTTTTGCGTCCATTCTTTTGCAACTGATTGGTTGACCGTCGCAAAAAAACACCTTTTATATCAACATCTCATTTAACATAAACCCCAAATCGTGCCTTTAACTTGAAAAAAAAAAAAACCAAATCGTATAAAACTTGCCCTATACCCTTTCACTCTTATTTCCCAAATCTGTGTCGATTTCGCTCTCTCGATTTCGTTCTCGATATTCCTCTCTCGATTTCGCTCTGTTTCTTGTTCTATAAATCACCATGGTCGTCTGAAGAAGAGACCTGCAATGGTATGAACTCCCCTAACTTCTTTATTATTTTGTGATCTAGAACTAGCTGATTATCATTGGTACGATCCACAATATATTCTTAGATACATATCTGATCCTGAATCAGGGTGACTGACTTTGGGGTTAGATTGGGAAGTGTTTTTGACTTTGGGGCCATGGACCCCATCTGCCTCTTCTGTGTCTTCCATTGCATGTAATTGTTGCTAATATATTGTTAACTTATTGTGAATATGGCAGCTGGTGGTGCTCAAACAAACTCCACTACAAGATCGAATCCTGCTGAGGATGCTAGGCTGCCGGCAGTTGGTGGCCTTGGTGGTCTTGGTCTCCCAGAGATGTTTGGTTCCATGCAGGATACTGCTTCATTAAGTCAGTTTGCACAAAATCCAGCTGTATCACAGATGATGCAAGTTCTCCTCTCCAACCCTCAGTACATGAATCAAGTAGTAATTTTCTTTGTTATGTAATTTGCTTTGTATTTGAATGTGAAGTTTCTTATTCCCTAATGCTTTTCAATTGTTAGATTAGATTCTTGGTCTCAATCCCCAGCAGAGCAATATGCTGGGTTCCAATTCCCAACAGTATTGATCATGTGGCTTGGTAGGTTGTTAAAACATCATCAGATAAGTTTTTGCTTGTTCCTGACATCTTGGTGTATATTTATGAAGGTCTTTAAGATGACTGCTAATGTGATACTCAATATTGCTGGAGCTGATTGGAGTTAAATTTATCTGATGTAGGACACAATAATTGGATTTTTACTGGCTGGAGTAGGCAATGTGGATTTGCGGAGAAAGACGAATTACCTAATTGTGGACTCAAGTATGCTTTTGAGCTCCAAATGTTCTGAAATTTTAATGTTTCAGGCATTACTGTGTTGGATTTCTGTGATTACCTCTTTCATATTAAGGAAGTTGCATTTTTTTTTTTAGTGTATTGTTTGTCTTCTGTTGTTTTTAGTTCTGAAGTGAACATTCCATGCTATCTGAAAGAATATAGTCAGCAATAATGTGGCTGGCTTTTGATGTTTTTTCCTGTGGTAGTTGTTTTGGGAGTAGTTCTCACTAAAATAACTTGCATATCATGAATTGAAAAGCTATCTCCAATAAATGACTAGATCGTTAACATACTTTAAATTTTATGATAAAATCATTAAAGCCTACTAGTTACTCTTGTCATTTATGCTGTAGATTTTGTTTCTCTGCAACAGAATGAGCAGCTAAAGAGATTCAAAATTTGCTTTAAAATTGTTGAGAGAGAGAGAGAGAGAGAGAGAGAGAGAGAACTTGAAACTACATGGGTTTCAGATGCTGTTATACAGCTCCAAATTTTTGTTCTTGGCCTGTATCCTTAGTTATGGAATTAGAATCTGTCCTTTCTCCCGAGTTAATTTCAATTCAATTGAATTTTTGGATATTCTTATTTTGGCTTATAAATGTTCTTTTATTATGGCTTAGAAACAACTGTTAAGCAAATTGAAGAAGCATTCAAGGAGTTTACAACAAGAGAAGACGTTGTAATAGTGATGATCAGCCAATATGTAAGTTTTTGTTCTTCTCTGTCATATTTTTGATTGATTTTAATGCTCTTCTGTGGTATGACTTATGCATATGATTATAGTGCATGCTTATACCTTATCAGATGCATCATGAGCACCCTAAGATGCTTCTTTTTTCTTTTTCTTCTTTATTTAAATTCTATCATGTGAATGAAAAAAAATATTAAAAGTTTATGATGAATGAGTATGGGTCGTGTCACAGAGTTAGCATGTTACATTAATGTTTTAGTCAATGGAAGTTTGGTGCTGAATTTACTAATGCTTCCTAAACTTCAAGTTAAACCTTTATTGCAACATTCATATAAATCACAAAGTTCCACAATTATTATAGTCTGGTAGTAAGAGACGAATGAGTACATTGATTTTGTGGTGGTGTGATTTTTCATTTGTCATTTGATTCTGTGGATAAAACATTGTCTAATGTAACAATGCTCATCTTCAGGTTGCAAACATGATAAAGTTTTTAGTAGATAGCTACAACAATCCAATTCCAGCAATTTTGGAGATTCCTTCCAAGGACCATCCTTACGATCCAACACATGATTCTGTTCTTTCAAAGTGAAGTACCTTTTCTTTGATTTTCCCATTTTACGTGCTGTATGCTTGAATGTTCTTTCTTTCTTTATTTATTTCTAATTTGGATTTGCAGATTCTAACAGTTTGTGGAGTTACTCTCTCTGTCTCTCTATCTCTCCCTTAAAATTTTAATTTTAGTTCAACTTTTACTATTAGATCAGCAATTTCAATATTTTAAGCTTACCAGTATTGGTAATGAGTTTTTGAAAGTCTTAAAACATTTTTTCCCTGGGTCAGTTTAGTGAAAAGGTAGATCTTTTGTGCAATTGATTAAGACTACACCATAATGGTAATGGGATAATTTAATCGCCTAGTACGCATCTTTTAACATTTTTGCTTTATTATCCATCTCACTAGCTGGTGGGGTAACTTGGTATTTTAGTAAAGAGTATATTCCCTTGCGTTAATATGGAAATTTTAGGCGTCACATGACCATTAATTTGTTATTAATGTAACATTTTTCAGGTTTTTATTTTTTTGGTCAAATTGATGAAATGAAATATATGAAGATTGACACTTCATCTGTCAATTTTGTGTTTCAGATGCTAGTTGATGATATTGGTGATGTAATAATTACTAATGATGGTGCTATAATACTCAAGATGTTAGATGTTGAGCATCTCGCTGCAAAGGTGGAATAATAAAGCATCCATTTGGTTGAGCTTCAAGACCGAGAAGTTGGAAATGGGGCAACTTCTGCAGTTATTATATCAGTCAAATGATCCAGTAGATAATGATGCATGGAAAGATAGTGATCGAGAAGCTTGACACTTTTTTTTTTCCCCTAGCCCAGTTGAATAGCTCTGAAGAACATTAAGAGTTTCAAGCACAAGAAATGACAAAAAAAATTAGAAATTCCTTGATTGAGTTTATTTTTTAGTTTCTTGTTGATAGAATTCACTTGGATTTAATTTGTTGAATGTAGGCAGATTTTCTGAAGGATCATAAATCATAACGATGCACTATTTATAAATGTCATTGAAAACTATTTGCGACGGTAATAAGATAGTCGCTAATACATTGTAGGTAATTTTTTTTTCTTTTTTTGCGACGGCAAAACATCAGTTGTTATAAGTAGGTTAGGCGGTCGCAAATAATTTGCGACTGCTGTTTTGCAGTCGCAAAAAGTATTTGCCACCCCCACATTTGCGACCCCCATTTGCCGTCGCATGGGCCGTCGCAAAAAGTCTTTTGCGACTGTATTTTTATTATTTACGACGGTTTGTAACGGTCGCAAAAAGTATTTTTTTTAGTAGTGTCTTTTGTTAATTTATGGACTTCTTTGATGTAGATTTTTTTTTTGGGGGGGGGGAGATATTACGCTGATAGTCCTATTTTGATCGTTATGTCATTTTGGTCCATATAATATCTATTGGTTTAATTTTGACCTTATATTTATGATTTTATCTCAATTTAGTCTAATTAATTACAATTGTTAACATTTTTTAATAAACCATAAGTGCTTAAGTGGTATATATAATGTTTTTAGGGATAAAATTATAAACTTGCTCAATTTAGTGAGTTAATCTCAAATTTAGTGGTAATTTTTTTTGGAAAAAACACTACATATTATCAATTAGACCAAATTGACACAATTTAAAATTAAGGATCAAAATTGAGACATTTGAAAATGTAAGGACCAAAATAACACAAGGAGTATAATATAGGGACTTTCAATATAATTTGTCCTTTTTATTTTTGGTGTCAAAATTGTAGGATATTAATTTGTTAATAAAGTTAAATTACAATTAAATAAATCACCACTGCTCCATTAACTCAAATCATCACTACAAGAATTCGCATTTTTGGCAACCAATTTTAGCGACTAAAATTAATTTAGTCGCCAAAACCCATACTTTTGGCGACTAAACTTGGTATTGGTCGCGATTGGTTCAAAAATTAGCTACTATCTTTTTTTAGTCACTGTAAAGTGCTTATTGGCGACTAAAAAATAAATTAGTCGCTAAAGACTTACGTAATAGGTGACTAATAAACATTTTAGTCGCCATTAGTTGTGTTTATTGCCTACTAAATTTTTTTAGTCACTGTAAAGAACCTATTGGCAACTAAAAAATAAATTAGTCGCTAAAAACTTAGGTATTAGGTGACTAACAAACATTTTAGTCGGCGTTAGTTATAGTTTTGGCTACTAAAGTTTTTTTAGTCGCGGTAAACTCATTTTCGCGCATAAAATGTTGGTATTTATTTTTGGCGACAAATCTTTTGTCGGTAAAAACTTATATTCAACGACGAAATGTTTTTTTAGTCGTCCTATAAAACCAAAAAAAAATTTGGTGGGAAGATCAAAATACTACCGCGTATTACCAAAGGAAACACCCCTCTTGCTCTCACTCTCGTCCACAGCCCATCGATTATCTCCTATCGTCGATAGCCCATCCATCATCTCCTCTAATCCACAGCCCATCGATCATCTCCTCTCATTGACTAACCATCGGCCACCGTTGTGCAGAGCACCCGAACCAGCAGAGGTACACCGTCTGACACCTATTCAATTTGATTCAGGTTTCTCTCTCTCTCTCTCTCTCTCTCTCTCTCTCTTCATCTCTCTTCTTTCTTCTATTTCCCTGTTTCAGTTTGATTTATGAGTTTCATTTATGGGAAACGAGTTAAATGGTTTATGATTTGCCTATGATTATTTGGGGTTTTTTTTTTTTATTTGATGCAGAGGCTTTCAATATTGAACCCGTAGGTAAATCGAGTTTGATTTTTGTTCTACATTTAGGGGGTTTTTTTTTTGGGTTTTTTTTTTATTCGTATCCGACTTTGATGTCGGAGAAGAAGTTGCTGCCTTGCATGCCAGTCTTTCAGGCACTGTTTGGTCGGCAGCCATTGCCAAAAGCCACGCCTCTAAAACTGCCACGGAGCACACTGTTGCTCTGTAGAATTCACCATTTCAGTTTGAGAACAGAGTGAATGAAATTTGGTTGATGTTTGAAGACCTGTTCAATATTAGATTAGTGCAGACCTTCCCCATGCCAAATAGGACTTGTGACAACTGACGAAATGTAATTCGGACTCGTAGGTTGGGATTTAGAGACGAATACGCCCAAAACTTAGTCGAAAAATGGCATTTCGGGGGTGAAAATCGAAAACAATCCCCGAACCGCCGTGTGGCCGACACGAACAGATTCCCCATGCTAAATATGACTTGTTGCAAGTAACGGAATGTTATTCGGACCCACATGTTGGGATTTAGAGCCGAATACGCCCAAAACATAGTCGAAAAAGGGCGTTTCAGGGGTGAAAATTAAAAACAGCCCTCGAACTGCCATGTGGCAGACACGAACACCTTCCTCATGCCAAATAGGACTTGTGACAACTGACAAAATGTAATTCGGACTTGTAGATTGGGATTTAGAGACGAATATGGCCAAAACTTAGTCGAAAAAGGACGTTTCGGGGGTGAAAATTGAAAACAGCCCCCGAACCGCCGTGTAACCGACACGAACAACTTCCCCATTCTAAATATGACTTGTTGCAAGTGACAAAATGTTATTCGAACCCGTAGGTTTGGATTTAGAGCCGAATACGCCCAAAACTTAGTCGAAAAAAGGGCGTTTCAGGGGTGAAAATTGAAAACAGCCCCTGAACCGCCGTGTGGCCTACACGAACAGCTTCCCCATGCTAAATATAACTTGCTGCAAGTGACGGAATGTTATTCGGACCCGTAGGTTGGGATTTAGAGACGAATACGCTGAAACTTAGTCGAAAAATGGCCTTTCGGGGGCAAAATTCAAAACAGCCCTTGAACCACCGTGGGGCCGAAATGAATACATTCCCCATGCCAAATAGGACTTGTGACAACTGATGGAATGTAATTTAGACCCGTAGGTTTGGATTTAGAGCCGAATACGCCCAAAACTTAGTCGAAAAAAGACATTTCGGGGGTAAAAATTGAAAACAGCCCCCGAACCGCCGTGTGGCCGACACGTACACCTTTCCCATGCCAAATAGGACTTGTCACAACTAACGAAATGTAATTCAGACTCGTAGGTTGGGATTTAAAGACGAATACGCCCAAAACTTAGTCGAAAAAGGGCGTTTCAGGAATGAAAATTGAAAATAGCCCCGAACCACCGTGTGGCCGACACGAACAGCTTCCCCATGCTAAATATGACTTGTTGCAAGTGACGGAATGTTATTCGGACCCATATGTTGGGATTTAGAGCCGAAGATGTCCAAAACATAGTCAAAAAGGGCGTTTCGGGGGTGAAAATTGAAAACAGCCCCCGAACCGTCGTGTGGCCGACACGAACACCTTCCCTATGCCAAATAGGACTTGTGACAACTGACAGAATATAATTCAGACTCGTAGGTTGGGATTTAGAGACGAATACAACCAAAACTTAGTCGAGAAGGACATTTCGGGGGTGAAAATTGAAAACAGCCCTCGGACTGCCGTGTGGCCGACACAAACAGCTTTCCCATGCTAAATATGACTTATTTGTAAGTGACGGAATGTTATTCGGACCCATATATTGGGATTTAGAGCCGAATACGCCGAAAATATAGTTGAAAAAGGGCATTTCGGGGGTGAAAATTGAAAACATCCCCCGAACCGCCGTTTGGTCAACACAAACACATTTCCCATGCCAAATAGGACTTGTGACAACTGACAGAATGTAATTCAGACCCGTAGTTTGGGATTTAGGGACGAATATGCTGAAACTTAGTCGAAAAACAGCCTTTCGGTGGCGAAAATTCAAAACAGCCCTTGAACCACAGTGGGGCCAAAACGAACACCTTCCCCATGCCAAATAGGACTTGTGACAACTGACAGAATGTAATTCAGACCCGTAGGTTTAGATTTAGAGTCGAATACGTCCAAAACTTAGTCGAAAAATGGCGTTTCGGGAGCAAAAATAGAAAACAGCCCCCGAACCGTCGTGTGGCCGACACAAACACCTTCCCCATGCCAAATAGGACTTGTGACAACTGACGGAATGTAATCCAGACTCGTAGGTTGGGATTTAGAGACGAATACGCCCAAAACTTAGTCGAAAAACGGCCTTTCGGGGGCGAAAATTCAAAACAGCCCTTGAACTACCGTGGGGCCAAAACAAACACCTTCCCAATGGCAAATAGGACTTGTGACAACTGACAGAATGTAATTCGGACCTGTAGGTTGGGATTTAAAGCCGAATATGCCCAAAACTAAGTCGAAAAAGGGCGTTTCAGGGGCGAAAATTCAAAACACTCCTTGAACCGTCGTGGGGCCGAAACGAACACCTTCCCCATGCCAAATATGACTTGTGACAACTAACGGAATGTTATTCGAACCCGTAGGTTGAGATTTAGAGCCGAATATGCCCAAAACTTAGTCGAAAAAGAGCGTTTCTGGGGCAAAAATTCAAAACAGCCCCCAAACCGCCGTGTAGCAGACACGAACACCTTCCACATGCCAAATAAGACTTGTGACAACTGACAGAATGTTAATCGGACCCGTAGATTGGAATTTAGAGCCGAATACGCTGAAAACTTAGTCGAAAAAGGGCATTTCGGGGGCGAAACTTCAAAACAGCTCCCGAACCTTCGTTTGACTCTCACGGGCAACTTCCTCATTACAAATAGGACTTGTGACAACTGACGGAATGTATTGGAGATGTATAGTAATGGAAAATTACGAGAAAAATATTCAGAAATCAATATGAACTCAGTTTACACCTTGTTTGAAACTTGCTAATTTTTTGAACGTACACACGTGTGTTATATTATATTTAAGCTTTCATACAAGTATGAAACATGCTCATGGTGTTTCTGAGGCCATGTGCGTCATGAGAAATCAAGTATTCTTTCTTTGACGAACCATTTATAGTTGTGTCAACATATATTTCTACATATTTTCGTTTATGATTGAAATTTATTTTTATTATTATTTTTATCACGTATTCTAATATCCTTTCTGAAATGGCACTGACATACATTAACAAGCACCGATGGTTTTATACCCAATCTAATGATTCAAGTGCTTTTTGCAAACAAATAATGCCGAAGTTCGTGAAAAGAAAAATTTATATTCACATTGGGTTTTGATATTGGGTTAGCCACAGAATTTGGATACATGTTGCATACAAATAGAAGATTGTTACATTAGCTTTATGTTACTAATGAAAGATTTAGTAATGATTATTCTACATTTAACAATGTTCCTTATAACACATCGACTTTAGAAAGACTGTACAGTGGCTGATAATTGATTCATCATGGAAGGTTGCTTCTCACTTATTTTTATTTGTCACTTGTTCCCAAAATCATTCATGAAGTTGGGCATTTTTTGGTCCAATTCTAATGTTTTTTTGTTTTTTGTATATGCTTTTGTTGCGTGGACTTGCAGAGATTTTTTGGTGTATGGAGAAGAAATTGTACTTTTGTATAGAAGTAATATAATACTTTTGTCATCTCCGGCTTTTTTGCAGTTAACTATTACTGATACAGAAAACTTTTAGCAGCGAACAGATAATTACTGGCATGGTAGATAGATCACCTTTTGACGCCGTACAGATATATGATTTCTTGTCGTGATACATAGATGTGTTTTTGGCTTGGTACATACATCACCTTTTGTTGTGGTACAGATTACGATGGTAATTTGTACCGTGCCAAATGGTCATTTCACATGGTATAGTAAATGTAATTTTTGTATATGGATGGCTTTACTTTTTGTGTGATTCTATATGTTGTATGGAATTATTATTTTAGTTTGAACAATAGTTGGTTTGTATGTACTTAGACAGTTAAAGTAATTTATTTTTTGTATACGGATGCAGATTGTGGAATGATTGATAGTTTATGTATCATTTTATTTATATACGTATTACAGGTTGCATGGAATACAGATAGGTTATGGAGAAAACATAATATCATGTTTTTGCCGACTAAACGTTTTGTAGCCAACAAAAAGGAAAAAAGAAAAAAAAAACCAACATTTGACTACTAAAAGTTTTGTAGTCAAAAGAAAATTAAACATTTGACTACTAAATTTTTTGTAGGCAAAAGAAAAACAATCATTTGGCTACTAAATATTTTGTAGCCAAAAGAAAATGAAACCTTTGGCTACTGAAAGTTTTGTAGTCAAAAAGAAAATTAAACATTTGGTGAATAAAATATTTTGTAGCTAAAAAAAAGTTGAAGAATAAAAACAATTTTGGCGACTAAAAATTTAGTAGCCAAAAATGTGGAAGTTTAGGCGACTAAATTTTTAGTAGCCAAAAGAAATAGTATTTGGCGACTAAAATTGTAGTAGCCAAAAAAGATTAACTTTAGGCGACTAAAATTTTAATAGCCAAAAAAAATAGTATTTGGCGACTAAAATTTTAGTAGCCAAAAAAGATGGACTTTAAGCGACTAAAATTTTAGTAGCTAAAACACTAGTATTTGCGAGTAAAAAATTTAGTAGCTAAAAAGTTTTCCGCGACTAAATAATGGCTTTTAGGGCCAAAAAAATTCGTCGGCAAAAATTAATTATTTAATTAATTTTCCAACCTATTGACGACTAAATATTTAGTTTAGAAATAAATGCATTTGGCGACTAAATTAATTTTAGTCGCCAAGTAGCTTTCCCAACTACTCTTCAGCTACTAATTTACCGACCAAAAAATTTAGTCGCTAAAGACTATAGGCGACTAAAAAATGACTTTTGACAACTAAAAATTTAGTCGTTAAAAATAAAAACCACTAGGCTATACCTAAGGTCTCTTTGTTGTAGGTTATTTGGTGATCTTAAAATGTTGCTCTTATACTATTTACTATTAGACTTTCGTCCAATTTTCTTGCAAGGAGATATGAATTGATAAGACCACTACTTTAACCAATAACATTCAAGTTTGGGACGCACTAAACTAAAGTTTTAGGGCTAAAAATTTGGGAACATAATTACTTTTAAGGGACGTAAATATTTTTATTGTCAAAAATGTTATTATTGTAATTTTAGTAACAAAATTAAATATTTAGTGATTAATTACTATTATTTTGGTAATAAATTTTTTATTTAAAATTTTTTTATTAAAAAAAAAATATTTAATCATTAAAATTCTTATTTGTTGTAGTGACACCAAGTATACTTGCCTTAAGAGCACATACAATTTTCCTCATGCAATAGTGTGATTCAATCATTTAAGATATAGAATCTTATTTTGAATAGTAAGGTCGATAGAATGAATACGTCTTGCCATATGATTAGTTTTTGAGTGTTGCTAATAGCTCTCACTAAATTTTTTTGAACTCTTTTTTAGATCTCCACCCACTTCTATTTTCTTAGACCCCACCACCTTAATTCCAATTTTAGCCCTCTTCCTTGGAACCCTTTGACTAATTCTTTCTCCAACCTCCTCTTCGCAACCATCCTACCTCTTACCACCTCTCACCTCCAGCATCATCATTCACAACCACCCTACCATTTGTCGCCACCACTCCAATCCATCCCTATCTCTAGTGCCACCCCAAGACCTTTCCATTTCTGCATCACCTCCGACAACCCTTCCAATGCCCATTTACAGCCTTTTTTTAAGCGAAACCTTAGCCACTACAACCTTCTTTTCAGTCCCAAACCCTAGCCATCGCCTCCTTCCAACTTCAATTGCGGAAGAGATAAGTAGGCCCCCAGCAATTGCAATCGTGATCGCAACCGAGAGGGGGGGGGGGGGGGGGGTAATGATAGGGCTAGGCGTTGACGGTGACAGTAGCGGTTGGGGATGGATTGAGTAGTGGTGGTGTGATAGAGAATGAATTTGTTAACTGTATATAATTTTTTTTGTTTGTTTTTATAAAACTATTAAAAATCATACACACAAACTTGATTTTCGTTTTTAAAAAGTTACAACATTTACTAAATTCTTATAATAAAAAAATAGTTGCTTTCATTTGTTTAGAAAATAAATTTTCATTCCTTCTTTTCTTACCTTTCTAGCTACCGCTACTAGTGGCTTCTCTCAACCACCTTCGGCCACCAATTGCTAATGATCTCCAACTACCACCTTTGACCACCAACTGATATTGGTAACAATCATCTCTGGCCTCTACCTCTAACCACTGACCACTATCTTTAGCCATTATCTCCAGCCGTCAACAACCATATTCAGCAAATCACGTATTGTCACCCCTTCTCACTTATCTTCAAAACAAAATTTTAAAATGTGTGTACCGCACATAATTTTTTAAAAATAAATATAAATACGTTTAATGTTTTTTAGTAAACAAACAAAATATATCTAAGATACTAAGAGAATAGTCCAATTCATTCAAATTGAAAAATTAAGAGCAGGAAGTTTGCCAACTTGAAATTAAGAGGACTTAATCTTAATATTGACGTTGCCCTTAATTTGCTGCAAAACCAGAATAGGGGTTCTTCAAAAGGCCCCCAAAAATTCTTCAATTCCTTCCTTCCAAATTCAATATGCCATTTTAACCCAGGCAAAGCCTCCTAACTTTGGTATGTTAAGAATGATTTTTTTTATTATTATATTTATTTATAATAGGATGTCCACATCAGTTTGAGCGTACCTTGATTAATCTCTAAACTCTGAAGTTAACAACTGAACAAACCTCCAGTAATCCTTAAAGAGACTCGAACTTGAGATTTTAAATCGTATCCTCAAATCTTTACTGTTTGACCAACCCTTCAAGACTAACTGATATTGCACAAACCTAATATGTCCATTATACCTACTTTTTGATTGTTAGTGGACAACATTACCCTTTTAAACAACATTACTCTCTCTCTCTCTCTCTCAAGAAAAATAATGTCTGGTCTAAGTTTAATATCTGTATGATGAAAGCTACACATTGAATGAATCTCAACCACACTCTGTTTTTTCATATTTTTCTTTGCTTGAGTTTCTTATCCCTAGCATTACTCTTACCAAAAACTGATCAGGCAAGTCCCAGAGATTAGGCTGGACAAGACTGGTTCAATTAGGTAACTTGGATAGAGAAGACTAGTCCAATTAGGCTAGACAATACTTCTTCAATTAGCAATCTTTCAAATTGGAGATGGAAGGCAAGAACACAGAAGGTATGATTTCTCTATTAAAAATTGAAGGAAACTAAGTTTCTATTTAAAAAAATTCAGCTGTAAAACACTACTTTAGGAGTTTAGAACATTTCTAGTTAATTAGATTGAAACAGACTAATCACTATCATCATAAAGAAAAAAGAAAAAAAAAATTATCAATTCAGCTAGTAACCAACCTTGTATTAGTTTTAATCATCCAAAACAATGACCCCAGGGTCCGATTTATCGGCGCTTTCTTCAGTTGGTTCATCGGCACTTGAATCAGCATCACGCAACTCTTCCATTTCCACATCATCTCCAGTTCCATTGGTTGAACATATAGGTTCAGTCTGAGGTGGACATGAATCTGCAGCAGCAGGAACAACTTCACAAGAAGGCGAATTACTCTTTTCTTTTTCAAAATCTGGCTCTGTTGTTGATCTATTACTACATTCTGTTTCAGGGCCTGACTCCACTGTCATTGCCTCTGGACCAGATTTGTGTTTGTCTCCCTGCAGTGTTGACAGCAAATTGGGTCCTGCAATTTCAGTTGGCGTTTCCGAGTGTGAATCTGCTTTTTGTATCTGAGGTTTTAAACTAGAAGAATCCTGTTGAACTAGAGAGAGGATTCTATTTATATCTTGATAGATGGTCTCTAGTGGAAGGAGATTCTTCTTCAACTTGAAACCTGCTGGTTTGTTTGCTAAAAATGCCTCCATCGATTCATTGGCATTTTGTCCAAGTACTTTGCACATCTACATTTAAGAAACAATCTTTAGTGATGACATATCATTTCCTGAATAATATTTCTTCTCATAGACATCAAAATCAGGTAAGATATATGATTTGATTCTGTAACAAATGGGATTTTACCTCATTATAAAGCTGAGCCATTTTCAAACGATCTGGTTTATCGTCACAAGCAACAGCTGAAACTTCTTCTGGAGCTGCACAAAAGGAAAAGGTCGCACCATATTAGCTTCCTAAATGAGCCCGAGTTCTTTTGACATCTTATTTTGCTCTGAAGATCGAGTATTTCAAAACCACTGGTTGTCTACATTCAAACTAAACACAAACTCGCTAAAACAAACATATTCCACCTTCCAACCTTAAAACACAACCTGACCAAAAACCAGGAACCTCATAAATGCAACAATACCTCCTGTAGACACCTGATTCATGGTCTAGAGTTGGTCATATATTTTTCAGGATTTTGCCACAGGATTTGCCAGCGCCTTTGCAATTACAATCACCATACATCAGCCAATACCAAATATGGCAATACATATGTCTAAGTTTGATATAAGTTGATCTTTTGGTAATACTAGACGAGTGAAGCCCTTAGAGCAATACATGTATGTTCTGTTACAAATCAAAGACGTACTACTAGCATTGCATATAAAAAATTTTAAAGCTTGAAGAAATTTATTAATGTTTAGCTTCAATAACTGAGAGTTGCTGACCATTTTTTTTATTCTCCAAAGTAAAACTTGAAGAAATGGCAAGTACACTTACGGATCACTTCTACTTCTGGTAAATCATTCATAGTTTGGGCACCAAACTCCATGGAGCATGAACTTGGTATATTTACAACCTTGGCTTCTGTCTCCAGCTCTCCATTAGGAGCCACATTTGTTTTTTCCTCACCCTACAATAACAACAAATAATAATTAAGAAACCAATTGTGGTTAATTAAGAACGCAATTTACACAGCTTATTTTGCAAACTCTTCCACATGGAACCATACACAGACTTTGCAGTGGATATGGAAATGAAGTAAACAAAGAAGCCAAACCAGTTAATCATAGGTTTAAAATCAAACATAAAGCAAAAGGGATTAGGATATTTGTGATCTCCCTTTTATGTAGCGTTTCCATTGGATGAAAAACGAAAATAATTCAATGGGATGAGATTGCTATCATGTCAAAATGTTGACGCTTCAGAGGTCCTCATCAACTAATACAATTGCATTTCACAAAATCAATTCATAGAATTCACGTGCCTGAACTTCTTGAACCTTTTATGAAAAGATCAATTTGTACATAGATAAACAAATATAGAGCATGAGAAATCAAATATTGAACATTTCAATTCTTGCCCAAAAAAAAAAACACAAAAAATGGAAACAAATAAGCAAGCAATGTAAACCACATGGGAGCAAAACTACAGTGATTGTCATTTCGATGAAAAATAACTTCTAATTGAACTAGCACATTAAACTCCAACATGGACCTATTACAAAAACACAGTTCCCGTCAAATACAATCAAACAGTAAAAAATAACAGCTGCTATAGGACTCTACATCTGCAATGAGTTTGATCTAGCAAAAGCCACAAGGATTTCAAACTGGCTCTTCAAGATCCATCTTTGCTTTAAAGACATCAAGAGGTGTGATCTTTTATTCATTTATTCTATGGATAAGCAATAAATTTGAGAAAGTGGCAAGTGGGCCAAACCCTAATATAACCAGATAAAAGAAAGAAACAAGAGAAAAAAATAAAAAATAGAAGTATAGAAATAGACCCAATCCCCAATTATAATTCAAAAGATATCCACTAGCATTAAATGAATTTCATAACATTGCCCAGCTTTCTCATCATGTCATCACCTTCCAATTTGTCCTACAGCCTTTCCAATAACAATGCCGTAATAGATTTTTGGACGCTTTTCCTTGAACTCACATCTAAACACTTCCATGAAGACAATAAACACACTAACAAATTTCTTCTTCTCACACTGCCCCTTCAAGTCTTCACAACCTATCTGTCCATTGTAACTAAATGAACACTGAGTCTTTTAAGTTCATTTTCCTATAAATTATTTCTTTTGTTTTCCTTCCTTTGGCTCATCAATTAGTGTTATGTACTTGAGGGTATTAGTGTCATTGTACTTGTTGTCTTATTATTATAAATACAAGTGCTTAGTGAGGTAACAAATTGAATTAGGTTTTGTGCCTACTCTTCCAGCAAATCTCTCTATCTCTCTTTCTCTCAACTATTAAGCAACAATTTTAACTTGGTATCAGAGCAGGTTCCTATTTTTTGTTCTTCTATTTTTATTTTTTTATTTTTTATTCCTTCTGTTCACTGTTGCATTTAAAAAAAAAAAAAAAAAAAAATCCTACCATGATCTACTAGGATAGGGAAGTTCTCAGAAAAATTTTGAAATTTTTTTGTTCTTGGTTGCCTAGTTTTTCCAATTTTTTCTTTATTTTTTGGAAAAATAGGCCAATTTTTTCAATTTCTGCCTTCTGGTTGTTTTGCTTCAATCCAACCCTTGGGTTTCCTTCTCTAGCAGCCGACTACGGCCTTTCTAGGCTTCTTTGCCATTGGTTGCTATATCTGGATGGTGTTTGATTGATTTTTAGCCCCTCAGTGCTTCGGTTGACTATTTCTGGTTCTCCACAAGCTTGTTTTTTGGTCTCCTGCTTCAGTGTAATTGTTCTTTTGCCTTATCTTTGCTGCTGTTGGGTTGTGGCTGGATTATTCTTTGGGTGCTCACATTGTTTAGGCCATGGTTGATGATGGTTAGACCCTTGTAAGTAGTGAAGTGAAAGAGTTCAGTCCCAATGTCTCTCTCGGTGAACATTCCTCTCTTCAGCTTACGCCAGTCAAGTTGGATGGTGCTAATTACTTGGTTTGGTCACGTTCTTTTCAATTGGCCATTACTATTTGTGGCATATCTGGTTACATCAAGGGAGTTACCACGGCTCCCAAGGAGGATGGATCAACCCGAGATAAATGGCTTAAGGAGAATGCTCTTGTCATGACATGGCTCATTAATTCTATTCATCCCACTATTAGTCGCTCTTTTGTTTTGATGGATACTGCTCATGAGATATGGACTGCTATTGCTCAAATGTATTCCTAGCGTGGCAACGATGCTCAGGCCTATGAGTTGCGGAAGAAAATACGGGGGTTTGATCAGAAGGATAGGTCCCTTGCCGAGTACTATGCCGAGTAAGTAGCTTGTAGCAAGAACTCTATTATTAGAATTTCCAAGCTGTTTGTTCCCAAGATGCTACTACCTTTCAACAGATGGTATCCAAGGAGAGGGTCTATGATTTCCTTGTTGACCTTAACATTGAGTATGATCAGATTCGGGTTCAAATTCTCGGTCGCGATCAACGTTCTGAAAAGCGGTTGCGGTTGCAGGGTGTAAAGGCCGTAGCGTAACGGTTGCGGTAATCGGAATCGTGAATTTTTTTATTTTTCGCACAATTTGAAAAAAACTTACCGATACGCACATTTCTTTTCCATGATCATATTTATTGGGTTTTAAAATAAATATTGATCAATTTTTATAAATTTTTAAGTTTGATCCAATATATTTCATATTTTTAAATCACTATAAACTGAATTTTTTACATTTTATTTTAATAATTAATGACTTTATATTTTACAAAAAATAATCACTGACTATTATATATAAGATAAACAATGACAAAAGTAAGAGAATAAATAAAAGTCTAAATATATATATATATATATATTAATCAAGCCAAATAGGTAATGACCACACTTATTATTATTATTATTATTATTATTATTATTTTCAAACAATATATAAATAGACACACAAACAAAATGGTTGAGTGATAATAGCTGAATAGAATAGCATAGGTCTTACAATAACAAATCAATAACATGTTCTTCATCTTCCCTATTCTCTCTCTCTATCTCTTGTTCCTCCATCTTCCCTCTTCTCTCTCTATCTCTCTTCCCCCATTTTCAACTTTTTTTTGTGTTTTTTTGAAAGAAGCAATTCGGAACCGTTATGTAACGGTGCGTAACAGGCTGTTATGGCCGTTACGGCACCGTTACGACCGCTATAGCAGCCGCTACGGTCGATACACCTGTGAATCTCAATCACACTGCAAAAGCGGCCGTAACGGGTGGCGGTAACTACCACAACCGTTACGTAACGGCGTTACGTAACGGTTGCGACCGCTTTTTAAAACCTTGGTCGCGATCCTTTCCCCACTGTACATGAGTCGTATGCTTATGTTAAGTAGGAAAAGAGCAGGCGTAGTGCTATGGTTCATCAGCCACCCCAAGATCGCTCTGCCTTGGTTGTTTCTTCTGCACCCAAGGATGGCTCCTTCTCCAAGTCTGAGGGTAAAGGTGGTAGTATTGATCGTAGTCAGATTACATGTGATTATTGTGGCAAAGACCGGCATGATCGAAAACATTGTTAGAAGTTGCATGGTCATCCTCCTTGAGGGTGGGGTAGTGCCTGTGGTGGCTCTGTTTGTTCTCAAGCCAATCTCTCTGAGGCCTCCACTAGCACCCTGGGAGATTTTGCCCCCCTTTCCCATGATACGTTGCACACGCTTAGGTGTTTGATAGCCCGACTTGATTCCTTTGCTCCTACTTCTAATCCTCCCTCGGCTTCCAACTTTGCGTTCACAGGTATTCTTACGAGTGCTTTAAGGTGCTTCTTCTTCCCCTTCATGTCCTTAGGTCATTGATTCTGGTGCTACTAACCACATAACAGGTTTGTCTCATCTTTTCCATTCTTACTCTCCTTGTTCTGGCAAGGATAAAGTAAGAGTTGCTGATGGGTCTTTATCTTCTATGTTTGGGACAAGCTCTGTTCATTGTTCTCTCTTGATTTCTATTTCTTCTGTTCTTCATGTTCCCTAGTTTTCTACTAATTTACTCCCTATTAGTCGTCTTACAAATTCACTAAATTGTTACTTAACTTTTTATCCCTCTCATTGTGTTTTCCAGGAATTAGGTACAGGGAGAACGATTGGTAGTGGTAAAGCACATAGGGGCCTGTATTTTTTGGATGCTGGACTTCCTTCCCTTGGCTCTTGTCACCAGGCTCTTCAAGCGACTGACACTTTTGCCCTTCTTCTGTTACACCAGCGGCATAGGCATTTAGGACATCCTCCTATTTCTGTTTTAGAGAAATGTTTTCCTACTTTAGTCGAAGATTGTCATTAGACTAATTTTCATTGTGATGCTTGTGAGTTTGCTAAACATAAACGTTCTTGTTATCCTCCTATTAATAAAAAAAGTCTTTTTCCTTTCATGGTTATTCATTCTAATGTTTAGGGTCCATCTCGTGTTTTGTCTGTTTCTGGTTATCGGTGATTGGTCACTTTCATTGATTGCTATCCTCGTGTGAATTGAGTTTACTTACTCCGAACCAAAAATGAAGTTTTTTTATGTTTTCAGACTTTTCATAAAATGGTTCTTACTCAATTTGCTACACCCATTAAAGTCCTCCAGAGTGACAGTGGTACTGAATATAATGACAGTGCGCTTCGGGCTTATCTTGAAGCCCATGGCATTTTTTTATCAAACCAGCTATGTCGGAAACCCGGAACAAAATGGTATTGCCGAACGCAAAAATGTCCATCTTCTTGAGGTTGCTCGTGCTCTTATGTTCACGATGCACGTTTTTACACCATATTGGGGTGATACAGTCCTTACTGCTACATATCTTATTAACCGCATGCCTTCAAGTGTCCTCCAATTTCAATGTTCCCTTGACTTTCTTCACCACACGTCTGTCTACCCTCGTTCCCTTCTGCCTAAGGTCTTTGGTTGTATCTGCTTTGTCTATTTCCCTCAGTCCATTCGCAGCAAACTTGATCCCAAGGCCCTAAAGTGTATCTTCCTTGGTTATTCCTCTACCCAAAAAGGCTATCAATGCTATGACCCTCGCACTCGCAAGGTTTATGTTTCTATAGATGTTACCTTCTGTGAGTCTCAGCCATTCTCCCAAGGCTCCTCTCTTCAAGGGAAGGTTTCTATTCCCAACGAGATTGGTTTCCTAGATTCTATGTTTTCTCTTTCCAATGGTTGTAAGGGGGAGGGTGAGCCATGTAGTGAGGGGGAGGTGATTCCTTATGTTCAGGGGGAGTCTTGTGATCAAAGAAAGACTAGTCGGCTGGATAGAACAGATCTCAAGACCTACTCTCGGCGACAAAAGGAACAAGTGGCGGATGTGCTGCCAGGCCAATCATCTCCATATCTGGTTTCATCATCTTCGTCTCCTGTTTCAGGTAATGAGTCATTAGTTACTAATTCTCCTGTCCTTTCTAGTATGCTCATAAGTTGATTCAAATGTTCTCATTGCTCTTAGGAAAGGAGTTAGAACCTGTACTCAACATACCATATCTCATTTTGTGTCATATGATTCATTATCGCCATCATATCGTGCCCTTGTTTCGTCTTTGTCCTCTATATCTATTTCACAGGTTTGGAAGGAAGCTCTTAGTGATCATAAGTGGAAAAAGGCTATGGCAGAGGAGATGAGAGCACTGGGTAAAAATGACACTTGGGAGTTAGTTTCTTTACCAATCGGGAAAAGGCCTGCAGGGTGCAAATGGGTGTTCACAGTTAAGCAGAAAGCCGATGGACCATTGAGAGATATAAGGCAAGGCTAGTTGCTAAAGGGTTCATTTAAACTTATGGCATTGACTATCAAGAGATCTTTGCTCCAGTGGCCAAAATAAATTCCATTTGTGTCCTTTCCTGTGCAGCAAATTTGGGGTGGCCATTATAGCAATTGGATGTGAAGAATGCATTTCTTCATGGGGATCTAGAGGAAGAAGTATCTATGGCTGTCCCTCCAGGTTTTTCTTCTCCAGGTACTGAAGGGAAGGTTTGCCGGTTAAAGAAGGCCTTGTATGGATTGAAACAATCTCCTAGGGCTTGGTTAGATAGATTCCTTAAGGCGATGCTCAGGCTTGGGTATTACCAAAGCCATGCAAATCATACTTTGTTCATAAAACAGTGTGGAGCTAAGATCAATATCCTTATCGTATATGTGGATGACATTGTGTTGACAGGCAATGATGCAGAGGAAATGTCTAATGTCAAAACTCAACTTTCCAAAGAATTTGAAATCAAATATCTTGCTCCCTTATGATACTTTCTTGGGATTAAGATTGCTAGATCAGAGAGGGGCATCTTCATTTCTCAAAGGAAGTATATCTTGGACTTACTTGAGGAAGTAGGCATGCTGGGGTGTAGACCGGCTGATTCTCCAATAGAGGCTAATCATAAGCTTAATAGTTATGGAGATCATGTGGACAAAGGGAGGTATCAAAGGCTTGTTTGAAGACTGATATACCTCTTTAATACTAGGCCAGATATTGCATATGTTGTTGGCTTTGTTAGCCAATATATGCATGATCCTCGGACGGGGCACTTGGAGGCTTTTTATAGGATCTTAAGATATCTCAAATCAGCGCCTGAAAAAGGCATCTTATTCTCTAATCATGGTCATTTAAGATCAGAGGCCTTCACCGATGCAGATTAGGCTGGCGCTATTGAAGATAGTAGGTCTACCACTGGCTATTGTACATTTGTAGGGAGGGAATTTGGTGCCTTGGCAGAGTAAGAAGCAGTCAGTTGTTGCCAGATCGAGTGAGGAAGCAGAGAATCGTGCCATGGCGAATGGCATTTGAAAGTTGATGTGGCTTAAAATTTTACTCGCTGATCTGGGGTTGTTGAGGATGGTCCTATGCGACTGTATTGTGATAATAAGGCCTCTATTAACATTGCTCATAATCTAGTTCAACATGATAGAACTAAGCACATCGAGATTGATCGACATTTTATCAAGGAGAAAGTATCTAGTGGCATCATTTGTTTATCTTTTATCACGTCTAAAAATCAGTTGGGTGATGTGTTTACCAAGGGGTTAGGGAGTAAAGTGTTTCATCCTATTGTATGCAAGTTGGGTATGCGAGACATCTATGCACTAACTTGAAGAGGAGTGTTAAGTTATGTACTTGAGGGTATTAGTGTCACTGTACTTATTCTCTTGTTATTATAAATACAAGTGCTTAGTGAGGTAACAAACTGAATTAGGTTTTGTGCCTCCTCTTCCAGCAGATCTCTCTCTCTCAACTATTATGCTACAGTTTTAACTATTAGTATTTTGCACAGCTCAACTAAACAGTGCCAAAATATATTTCAATGTATAATACACAACTGCCAGAATATGCAAGTAGTAAAACTTATGAAAGAACTTACAAATACTTCTTTTATGTACTCCGTATTTAGTGCTTTCTCCAACAGAAGCACCCTTTTCTTGATAAACTCGACCTGTCTTCTCTGCATCTCCCTGAAATGATATAATATAGAAGAATCTTGATGTATTTGTGCTCGATTTGCAGCATCAGGTGCTCCTTGTGCAGCATCAGCTGCTAAATCATTCCCACCACCGGTTCCATTTGTCTGATTCCCAGGTCTTTCAGTACTAGCTGTATTTGCACTGTCCAGTGATTGAAATGCTCCTTGGACAGGGAGAGTTATAAGGGGAAGATTCAGTTCTTGACAGATGACCTCTTGAACCCTAAGATCCTTGTCATCAACAATAGCTTGCCATCTTCCATAGCCATGCCTTCACATCAAAACAAATATATTATAATTGAAAGGATCTACGTACAATCTGAGAACTCGTCTTATGACTAATCATATCAAATTTATACTTCCATCTCTAAATTGTAAACAAATCCTAGCAAAGCAATGCTAGTATCAAATCAACTTCTCATACAATAATGCCTTTAAATTTCAAACCAACATGTCTAAGCAAGTTGAGTGGAACATCAAATATATGTGTATGACTATTTTTTTGGTCAAAGCATGGGACCCTTTAATAGCCTATCTGCACATGACGATGAACAATTGATGAATGGTTCAGATTGCTACTTGTGATTTTATCCATATATATCATTTTTATTATGTAATAATTGTGTAACAAACATGAAAACATATGGTATATGCATTAGTGGGAAAGAGATGAAAAGGTAACTTGCACCTTGCATGGGAACCATTGAAACCTCAGGGGTTCACATACGGCATAGTTTGGGAAGTTGGTTTTGGTGGGTTAGGAGCTAATAAGCCACAAAAATAAAATAGGCTATTTTAGCCACAAAAATAAAATCACAATCTAACTCATAATCATTCAACTCCTCTCTCACAAAAAAAATAAAAAAGCCAAAAAGCCTTCCAAAGTCTTTTTAGGCCAGGCTAAAATAGCCAAAAGTCAAAAAGCTAAAAAGTCAACCACTTCCCAAACGGAGGCGTTCTCACTTTAACAAGTGGATCACAATGGGATTTATTTAATGTTGAAATTTATGTAAAAATTATTATAAAAATAATGAAAATGTTAGGAAAAAAAGTTTTAAATTTAGTAAAAGCATTTTGAATTAATGAAAATGTTTATAATTTTATTTATTTATTTTTTTTATGTCCTAAAAAAATTTGTTAGCAAAATCATAATAATTTCACTGTTTGATCAAAAAAATAAGAAAAAAGAACACATGTCATCTCATCAAAAGCCAATATTGAATTTTTTTTTCTTCATTTGAACAAAATGACATTCGTGGTGAGATAGATGGGAAGGGAGTGGACGTTTTGAGGGTGGTTCGCAACGTGGAAAAGAGTTGAAATGAGAAGAATGGTAGAGGGGTGGCTGGTTGTAGATGGGTGATGATGAACGTGGGAAAAGTAGGAAAGGCTTTTCATACTGGGAAGGTGGAGAAGAGGTTGGCCGATAATGGATCATTAGGATTGCAACAAAAAAAGATAAAGAGTAGATGAGAGAGGTAAATGAGTGTATTTTGGTTAATTTTAGA